AATCAAGAATCAATTCGCTCACCAATGCATTTGATTTCATGGCCACTTTCCTAATCCTTCCCCCTTTATGCCTAGCATAAATTCTAATGAGCCACCACCTTTCTCCGCCCGTCGCTATATACTACCACGTGTAGCCACCACTCGAGAAACCATCTTTGTCTCCTTCCCTGGCTCGCATTTTAATGGCGCCTCCCGAGTTTTCCCTTCGTTGACAACTCCGATCCCCGAAAATAAAAATAAAAATAAGGGATTTAATTAAAGGGAAAAGCGATAATGGTTGGAAATCGAAAGCCCACGTCATGCCTAGTCGTCGGCAACTACTGCCACGACGTCCTGATGAAGGACGACGTCGTTTTAGGCGAATCCCTCGGCGGCGCCGCCGCCTTCGTATCGGCCGTGCTGGACGGAGTCGCCGTCCCCTCCACCGTCGTGGCCAAGGTGGGCCCCGATTTCGCCTACCCCGTCACCCACCCGCCCAGCGTTATCCCCTCCTCCGGGACAACCCTCTTCCACGCCCATTTCTCGTCACAGGTCCAACGACAGGACCGCGTCCTCCGGCGAGTCCGCGCTTGTGACCCCATCGGCCCCTCCGATCTCCCCGAGTCGCGGCGGTTCGACTTCGGCTTGGCCGTTGGCGTGGGTGGGGAGATTCTGCCGGATACACTGGAGAAAATGCTCGACATCTGCGAGACTGTGCTGGTCGATGTGCAGGCTTTGATTCGGGTCTTTGACGGCGGCGATGGAACGGTGAGGCTCGTTAAACTGAGGGATTCAGGGTTTTATCATCTCCTCCCAAGGATCGGGTTTCTGAAAGCCTCATCCGACGAGGCTCCGTACATTGATGTGGATCAGGCGAAGAATGCATGCTGTGTAGTGCTGACAAATGGGGAAGAAGGGTGCAGGGTTCATTATAGGGATGTGGAGCAGCATATTGCTCCCTTTCCGTCTGTACAGGTGGATCCGACTGGAGCAGGGGATAGTTTTCTGGGCGGGCTTGTTTTCGGGCTTGTGCAGGGCCTGAACGTCCCAGATGCAGCCTTGTTAGGGAACTTTTTTGGTTCGCTTACTGTTTCGCATGTTGGCCTTCCCAAGTTCGATTTGGGTTTATTGCAGGTTAGTTTATATCTCCCTTTTTTGGGGCTGCCACTCTTGTTTATATCTCCCTTTTTTGGGGCTGCCATTGTTGTTGATTGTGTCTTTTGTGCTTGTTGTGTTTCATCTACATTGCTTTTGCAGCTGTTGCATGTTCTACCTGCTTAGAATCGGAATTTTGGATTTTATGGGAGTTAATTTGGGATATCAAAGTGCGGTTTAGTTGTACGTTACGAGCTGATTATGTTGTTGTTTGTAGAAGAGTTTGCATTCTCAAGAGAGTGATTGCTTCTGATAAATTACTTGTGCATAAAAGTGCTGCAATTGCGCTTTCGCAATGATCACTTCTTTTACCATTTTGTGTGAAGAAACCTTGTAGGAACGTTTGCTCTCTCGTATGCGGTGTTCTCTTAGCCTTTTGCAGTTTTACTTTTCTTGTCTATAGTCCTAGAGTTGGGTACTCTTTAACTTATTTTATGTGCAACACCATAGGTTAATTAGCTTTTATTTCTTTTACCTGCTTAAAGCTGAGTGGGTTACCTTTGGCTCCTCAAGTCGAGAGAAATATAACAAAATGTTGAGTAGCTTAACTTTGACATATACCATGAAAACGAATAAGAAAGAAATTCTCAGATACTAGTCGAATAAATAGAAGCTCTTTTNCATAAAGTCCCATCTAAGTACATTACCCTCATCAAGGATATGTACAAGGATGCGATGACGTGTGTCCGAACATGTGGGGGCGACACCAGCGACTTCCCAATTAAAATAGGACTACACCAGGGGTCAGCATTGAGCCCTTATCTATTTGCCTTGGTGATGGATGAGGTCACAAGGGACATACAAGGTGATATCCCTTGGTGTATGCGCTTTACTGATGATGTGGTGCTAGTTGACGAGAGTAGAGCAAGGGTAAATAGGAAGTTGGAGCTGTGGAAGGATGCATTAGAGTCGAAAGGCTTCAGACTTAGTAGGACGAAGGCCGAGTACATGACGTGCGCTTTCAGCATGGCTTCACATGATGATGGTGACGTTACCCTTGACGGGCAAGTGGTGGCCAAGAAGGAGACTTTCCGGTATTTGGGATCGATGCTACAAAAGGATGGCGACATTGATGCTGATGTTAGGCATAGAATTGCAGCCAGTTGGTTGAAATGGCGTCGGGCGTTCTCTGTGATAAGAGGGTGCCACAAAGGCTAAAAGGTAAGTTCTATAGGACGCGATTCGCCCGGCGATGCTATACGGTGCTGAATGTTGGCCTACAAAAAAGCAACATGTCCAACAACTAAGTGTAGCAGAGATGCGTATGATGCGTTGGTTCTGCGGGCACACAAGAAGGGATAGAATTCGGAATGAGGATATTCGGGATAGGGTCGGGGTGGTTCCAATTGAGGAGAAATTGGTTCAACATCGGCTGAGGTGGTTCGGACATGTCCAACGGAGGCCTCCTGATGCACCGGTGCGTAGGGGAGTTCTACAGCGGGTCGAGGATGTTAAGAGAAGTAGAGGTCGGCCTAAACTCACTTGGGAAGAGTCGGTTAAGAGAGACCTTAAAGATTGGAATATATCCAAGGATTTAGCGGTGGATAGGAGCGCTTGGAGGCTCGCTATCAACGTGCCAGAACCATGACTTTTGCTCCTCTCTCTCTCTCTCTCTCTCTCTCTCTCTCTCTCTCTTCCGTTTATTTTATTTTATTTTATTTTATTTTATTTTATTTTATTTTATTTTATTATTTTTATTATTATTATTATTATTTTTTTTTTCTTTCTTTCGATCTCTTCCTTTTGGTTCGAGTCTTTTTTGTGTTTCCCTTGGGTTTCATCTCTAGCCTACCCCGACTTGCTTGGGACTAAAGGCTATGTTGTTGTTTGTTGTTGTAAGAGTTGGCAAACACTTCCCATTTTGGCTATATTAGCTGATGATGATGGTATGATATTAAAACTTAGTAATCAGGCCTGTTTGGAAAAACATGGGTTAAGGACTCAGTTCATTTAAATGTAGGCTACTTACTTAGCACATAGTTTTCATGAGATGTCTCAAGACATTTTTATGCAAATTCTTCCTGATACTTACCGTTGCTTCCATTTCCTCCTTCCCAATTTAAATGTATTCCTAGGCTTCTTTTATTGTCCCAATTTAAATGTACTGCAAGGTTCCCAAACAACTTTATTTACCTCGAAATATTAAATGGGATAACGGATGCACTAATAGCTAAACTACTCTTCTATTCCCATCTCATTTTTATTTAATAAAAGTTGTGAATCACGAAACCTACTTACATAAGATGAAGAAATCCCAACAAAAATACATAGGAGTTAGAAAAAAGATCACCTTTTTATCCTTTACCTTAACTCGTGCAGAAGTCGAGAAGGATATTTAATTGGCACGGACAAATCTCTACCTTGTTCCTCATAGCATTCGTATTTCGGACTTTCATCCTTGCAGCCATGTACGTCAACCTTGAACATGCATTCAACTGAATCCAACGCCATTTTATTTAATTCAAGACGATTGCGATGTTGAGATCTTTGTAGATTGGCAGAGGGAATACTTTTTAAAGTAAGTGACGAGATTTTTTTAGCCCAACCGACTTGGTCCTTTTCAGATGTTAGTTCCTCTGAGGTGGTCTTCAGATATAATTGGAAAAATCTTGTTATTTGGAAGGTGATTGATGTGAAAGGATTTTGGAGTTGAATGATTTGGACATTATGAAGTATGACTAACTACTCATAATTTATTATTATGAACTTGAGAAAAGATTGAAAATTAATTTTCAGGCCGTTAAATTGAATTAAAATGATATGATGCTAACTGATGAGCTTTGAGAAACTCTTGCGGTCTCGGAGTTACATAGGAATAAAGAGATCAGTTTGATTAACAAGTTATTTTGGTGTGGTAGATTATTCCAGTTTCAGTTCACATAATAGCCGACTCGGAAGTCTTGGGAATGTCTTATTGTATCATTGTGTGATCACTTGATTTTAATTTATCTCTCATTTGTTAGAGCATCATCTTTCTTCGTATCATTTTCTTTTCTATGTGGATGCTATGACTGAAACTTGCACAATAAACTTTTTTTTTTTCCAACCAAGTACTTAGTCATTTAGGCTATGTTTGATAAAACTAGCTAATAGCTTATCAATAATTTTTGAGCTTATAGTTTTTAGCTTATGACTTAAAGCTGAAAAGCTAGCTTACAGGATAAAAATGTGTGGTAAAATTAGCTGATAAGCTAGTTGAAATAAAAATTTCAACAAGCTTATTTGGAAAGCTACCTAAAGAAGCTTATGAGATAAGCTCGAGCTTTTTAAAAAAGCTTATCCTACCAAACGAATCTTATTTAAATACAGGAAACTTATAAGCTAACCAAATAAGCTATAAGCTAGCTTATTTGTCTACCTAACATAGTCTTAATGGTAGATGCCATCATTTCTTACATTATACTTGAAGATCATTATTTGTGGTTGATACATGTCACTTTACAATTTTCCTTCTAGGCAGTAAAGAATGAGGTGCAAAGAAAGAAGTTACAGTTATTTAGCTGCCGTGAAGAGCTAAATGAGAAGTTGGTGTTTGCAAAACCTTTAGATCACGACGACTTCCATAAATCACTTGTCAGAGCCAAAAATTTACCTTTATCTCATCAAGAATGCCAACTTGAGTTGCCACCTGGCTCCTCTCAAGTGACATTATTTTCAGGCAACAGTCATGACGAACCAATTAAGTTGGGTAACGGAATACCTTGATGCAGATTTTTTAACTCCCTGTCTCTACCAATCCATGTGAAA